GGTACACGACGTTGCCGTCGCTCGCGGCCGTGCAGGCGCCGCTGGCGGAGTTGCTGGAGCCGGCGGCGATGCCGCTGCCGCGGATGGCGGCGTCCGCGCGTTCGGAGGCGGTGCGTTTCGAGGCTAGCGCGTTGCGCGAGGATCTGCTTGCGCAAATTGCGGCCGACTTAACGGCCTGGCGCGAGTTGGAGGCGCAGGACTTGGCTGAACGGCGGGAGTGTTTACTCACGCCGACCCGGGCGGGGGCGGCGGCGGCGCAGTTGGAGTCGCTCCGGGCGCAGCTCGAAGCCCTCCACGCGGCCGAAAGTGCCGCGGTGGAGCGCGGCACACGCGCGCTTCTCAGTCGCACACTATCCACGGGCGCGCCCGCCTGCAAAATTGAACGTGCCTGTGGCACACAACGTGTCGTCACCCTTGAGCACCTTGCCAGCCTCCTCCTTCACCCCGCCGGTGCAGACGTCCTTCAAATGCTCCTCGGCGTCCGCGAAACCGCACCCGTAAACAGCCTCCTCGATGACCTAGCCGCACTCGTCATGATGATCGGCCGACGAGCACACTTCGCCGCCGCACTCGGCGCCGTCAAGGAACTCGCAGACCTCCTAGACCCCCACCCAGACGGCCTCCCTGAGAGTCAGGGCCCCAACTCGCAGGGCCCGGACTCGCAGGGACCGGACTCAGCGGGTGGGAAAGTGTCGGCCGGGGGGGAGTTGAGCGCGGCGGGAGTGGACGCGGGGCGGGTGGCATGTGCATTTGAGCGGCTGATTGAGGTAATGAGTCATCGGTCGGCGTACTTCCACGCGGCGGGTTCGAAGAAGGGGTGTGCGTGCGATATTTCAGTGGACAATAAGCCGGTGGACGACCTGTTTGCGGCGGAGCCAGTGAGCGGGTCGTGGACGCGAGAGAGCGGGCGGGTTTGTTATGATCCGCATCTATTGCTGTTTGAGTTTGCGAACAACTTGCGGTTGCGTGCGAACCAAGTGGACATCGTGGCGAAGATGTGTGCGGCTGTGGTGGGGCAGGCGCCGTTGTGTATCCAGCTGATGATGGGGCAGGGCAAGACGACGGTGATAGCGCCTTTGGTTGCCTCTATGTGTGCCACCAGTTCGACACCGGTGATGTTTGTGGTTCCGCCGAATCTGGTGGACTTCTCGAAGCGTTCGCTGGAGACGCGTTTCGCGGCCGTGTTGAAGCGGCCGGTGTACGAGTTGCAGTTCAACCGCTACATCGCGTTGCACCGCGACCTGCTGGAGGACCTGCGGCACATCCGCAACAGTCGCGGGGTCGTGGTCTGTTCGCCGACAACAGTAAAGTCGGTCTACCTCAAGTTCGTGTTGTTGCTCTCGATTGTGTGGAAGGAAAGCTTTGTGTGCGAGGGTGCGCCGCGTGACCCGGTGTGGGACGCGAGTCGACGACGCGCAGTGCGGACGATCAAGTCGCTGGTGGCTGCGAGCCGGAAGGTCGCGGAGGGGCTGCGGCTGCCTGAAGGCCTGCGGTTGCCGGGAGGTCTCAGTCGTGGTGGTAAGACGGCGCGGCGGTCGTTGTTGGGCGACTTGCGTACGGTGATGGATAAGGTGGCGAAGGCGCGACAGCCGGCACCGGCTGCGCCGCGGCGCGGGCTGTACCATCGGTTGTTGTACCGGCGATTGCGGGATAACCGTGCGGTTCCTGAGAGTGTGTTGCGCCGTGAAGCTAAGTTGGTGCAGAGTGAGTTGTATGTGGCTTCGGAGATTTTGGAGTTGTTTAGTCGTTCTGTGCTGTTGCTGGACGAGGTGGACCAGGTGTTGCATCCGCAGAAGAGCGAATTGCGTTGGCCTGTGGGCGAGCCGG